TTAAGATACAGACTATACCTGAAATCCCATAGGAGTCGTGACCTGGTCAGTTCTATGTTGTCATTAGATACAGCTATACCAGAATCCGATAGGAGTCTCTGACCTGGTCAGCTCATGTTGTCATTAGATACAGCTATACCTGAATCCCATAGGAGTCTCTGACCTGGCAGCTCATGTTGTCATTAGATACAGCTATACCTGAATCCCATAGGAGTCTCTGACCTGGCAGTTCATGTTGCCATTAGATACAGCTATACCTGAATCCCATAGGAGTCTCTGACCTGGCAGCTCATGTTGTCATTAGATACAGCTATACCTGAATCCCATAGGAGTCTCTGACCTGACAGATCATGTTGTCATTAGATACAGCTATACCTGAATCCCATAGGAGTCTCTGACCTGGCAGTTCATGTTGTCATTAGATACAGCTATACCGGAATCCCATAGGAGTCTCTGACCTGGCAGCTCATATTGAAAGTTCTGTTTCCGAAGAATAGTATAGAACACGTACCTGAATCCCATAGGAGTCTCTGACCTGGCAGCTCATGTTGAAAGTTCTGTTTCCGAAGAATAGTATAGAACACGTTATCGGCACGTAAATAATTTACTCTTCGTTACCTTTATTAAAATGTTACGCAAGCTATTTGTTTGTGGAGTAACAAAACCAACCGTTATATAACCAAAAAGTAGAGATCGGTAGAATGGATATATTATTATTATATATGATCGTAGTTTGATGTCTTTAGAGATACCGTATTGCCACTAATTAATGCCCCCGGGGGCGTTGCAAACTCCAAAGGGGAGAGTCACTAATTTTTCACTTGTGATTTGTTGATTTCAATGCTAATAAGTGTGTGTGTGTTTGTTTTACTTTTTTTTAATCAACATTAAGGTAATAAAAGTGGATTATATGTTGGATAGCTATTGCTATCACACAAGGTAAGCTTTATAAAATATCAGGGGGGCGCGATAATTATAATTCGTTGCTGTAAAAAAACACGCTATACATTTTGAGGTCGTGGGTGCGCTCTGAGAGTAGTGTTCAAGTCCCACTGCTTGGATAAACAAGTGTATTACAAGAGTTGGCGGTAGTTACTGTTGACCATCTTCCTTCCTCTAGATAGTTTTTGCATAGCTTAGCGAAAAAATTTAAAAATTCAAAAAGTTTTGATTTTGTTTACCGAATTTCACATTATTTACATGTTTCATTGTACGTCACTGTTCTGTATGATTTCCATTTTTATAATGTACGCGTATTTGAATCCAACCATAGAAAGGAAACTCCCTTTTCTCACTTGTGCATAATTCGACATTATGATTCCACATAAACGTGGGTATAGAAAACAGGAGTCTGGGATTCTGCCAACCGATTCGACAACAATAAAAAGAAGCCACTTTTGTTCGAAGTAGGATATTGGTATGATTCCACATAAACGTGGGTATAGAAAACAGGAGTCTGGGATTCTGCCAGCCGATTCGACAACAATAAAAAGAAGCCACTTTTGTTCGAAGTAGGATATTGGTATGATTCTCTCTGGTCCTGGCGAGAGTCTCCGAAAATTTGAGCTGGCATATCACATTTTTCTGTTGGGTTATTATCATTAGGCCTAATTAACACATCTTGGTTGTACACTTACGGACTTTATTCCTTTTAAACTCCAGTCCTACTATGGTGACATTAACTTGCTGTACCGGAAACAAACAAACAATTAACGAAAATATATTACTGAATTTGAATCGTGAGTTTGATTCTTGACTTATTACCAGCTGTACAAACGGAGAAAGTGTTAAGTTGATAAGGAGAACTGATTAAATAATTACAGTTCTGGCATTAGTGGAAAACAATAATACATAACCTGATGACAATTGCACAACATTTGTAATACTCGTATATGAACTTATCATTCAAGACCGTCCATTCAGCCTGTTTCGTTGTGCGCGCGTTTGTACTTTTAGAAACTGATAAATCTGAAGATACCTTCATGACATCGAGAAACGAGGATTTGTTCATTATTCGTTGAGTTTTGAACTGTGAAATTAAAAAAGCCCAACTTAATACAAGAAAATGTTCGATACACCACGTGACCCTATAGGTTACTAGATATAGTTACACATTCTATTTTGAAATGAAATATCGTATACATTTTTTTATACTATTTATCATAATAATATTCAGTTTTGTCTGTCCTGCAAATGTGCGCTCTTCAACGATTGTAATCAAAAGGCGGGTGTAAATATACTTTAGTAGACATTTTGTGCAACAACATATTAAAGCTTATCAAAGTTTTTAAAAAGGTCTGACGTTAGGTCGTAGAATAACATTATAAGTTTATTTATTGATAGTAGTAAGTATGGTAAAATTTTACCCTAAATAAATTAAAGCACAAAACAGGCCCCCCAGTGGAACAGCGGTATGTCTGGGGACTTACAACGCTAGAATCCGGGTTTCGACACCCGTGGTGGGCAGAGCACAGATAGCCCATTGTTTAGCTTTGTGCTTAATTACAAACAAACAAGCAAAAGACTGTGTTAAATTATCCCTCTACCTAATATAGGCTGTACTTAATACGGTTTAAATAATGTTCATAGTTGACGTTCATAATTGCACGTGAAGGACAATAAGGTAGAAGACGAAAGGCGGAAGACTTTCGAAACGTCGTCCTCTACATTTGTAGGTTTCTACAACAGGCAGTTGCTGTCTATTTGAAACTTAGATTCAAGGTAGAAGACAACGTAAGATGTAAATAAAACTGGGCATTGGTACACTTTATAATATATATATTTCACATTTCTTTTTGCCACGAATCAACAAGGACTATAGTTTTCTAAGAAAGGAAAACGGAACAATTATGAGCTTTGTTTGTCAAAAGTTGATATAGAGATAAATGCTTAATAAACCTCAACCAAAGATCGTTTGAACCCGAACATTTAGCTTTTAACAATATTTGTATGACCATCTACATTGTAATTTACAGTGAGAAATGTTGTGATATTGCGTTACCAATACGCTTAATTTCGATATTCTCAACGTCCTGACTTGCATTACTAGCGTTAAGAATGAGTATTTCGTTACTGTTTTATTGGTATTTGTGTCTTGACAACAAAGTCAATTTAAAATGATTTAATGATATAGAAATGTCTTCAGTAAAAATGTTGATTGACATTTCTTGTACATAGTAATTTAACACTTACCCAGTAGTTTTAAGATCATTATACACGGCTTTTATTGTAGTTACATATGTATAGTGTATAATCCCACCATATAGAGCCTATCAATAAAAACGATTCACATGACGCTTCAAAATACTGTTGCCCAACGCACACCTCGAGTTAAGATCACTCTAACGTGACTCATGTACCTTTGCACCACAACCCTTCAACCCACCCTAAAAGTAATGACCCACGTGTACAAGTTGTTCAAAGAACTTAATATTTTAAAAGTCATTGTTGTAGAGGTTATATAATGTTGGATTTTTTCTAGTCGGAGTAAATGACATTTATGGGGAACAAAATACGTAGTGTATATAAAAAGGTGGGTTTAAAAAATTAATAAATTATAAATCATGTGAATTACTGTTTTTTATACTATCGATTAAAAACGTTTGGATTTTACCTCGATATCATTAGTTAAATTCTCTGAATGTATAGTGTTTCAAAGCATGATGTAAGTTCTCAACAATTTCAGAGATCCGACCAGCGTGTATGTTACCCATGATATATTATATTCATGGTAATAATTCCTATTTTATTCATTAATTTTGCTATGCTAGTCAAGTGGTTAGCATACTTGGCTGCGTGTCAGAAGGTATAAGGTGCACCGTTGAACACGCTCGCATTTCCAGCTGTCGGTGCTTTAAAAGAGTGGCAATTAATCCTATTATTTGGTTCACAACTGAATAAAGCTCTTGTGGTTACAGATCCTGCTGACTGGGTGCCTTCCTTCTGGTCAGGAATTCAAAATTATGTCAAATTGTCAAATTTAGTAAAAAAAAACAAAAAAAACTCAAATTTGAAACGGTACTTTGCATTAAGTGCTGTCATCTAGTGACAAATGTAAAAAAGAACATTTTCTGCAAAATTGCTACAAAGCAATATAAGTTATTAAATGTTTTATCTTAAAATCTAAGCTATACATACACATAACGATTTTGTAGAAAACCTTTGAATGTTTTTATTTACTCGATATTAGTTTGTTTTATCCGACGTTTCAGATGTGTGCCTCTCACCTTCCGTGCCCAGCCCAAGCCGACACTCACTATAAGGCAGTGTGTCGGGCACTTGTCGCTGAAGCATTGGAACTCTCCAGCTTCTTGGAAAAGGTATCGAAAGGAACTAAGGTATGATTTTATCGTTGTTTTTGTAACGAAAAAAACAATTACTTTTGATATTTTGTTGTTCTTTACGTGTACTGTTGCGAATCTAAATAAATGAATTTGCATATATTAGGTCGTCAAGAAATTAATATCGCTTTTTTTTTGATGAAAAAAACCCGAACAACTTGTATATCAAAACAAAACATTTATCAAATGAAATAGTCTCCATTCTTATCGATGATGCTTTTCCAAGGTTTACCAACTAAAACCCAAAATTAAAATAAAGATATATGTAAAATACATATTAGAGTATATATATATATATATATATAC